GATCCTTGCTCCGCAGAAACGAGCCTTTCACCTCGAATCGGACAGATTCTACAATATAGTGGCTGCGAGATATGATAAAAACGAAATTGCTTCGAGCGGAGGATCCTCCGACATTTTCACGCCGTCGCGCGTACACGCCGTCTACGTTTCATTTGCCAAACACATTTGTCCGCATCACTGTAATATTTATTATTTTTTCAAGTATAAGGGTGTCCCAAAATTATTGTACTTCTGACAAATTAGAGATTCCTGACGTTATTCGAAGCAACTTTTTCCTTTACAAAAATTTTCTCCGAGGCATCGTTAACGAATTATTAACGAAAAACACGGACCAATGAGAGACGGGCTCGGATTCCGCCCATTGACTCGGCCCCCTAGCGCCAGGCGAGCTCGTCGCTCATTGGTCATCGTTTTTCGTTAATAACTCGTAAACGATGCTTCGGAGAACATTTTTGTAAAGGAAAAAGTTGCTTCAAATTACCTCAGGAACTCCTCGTTCCCCGGAAATACCATAATTTTGGGACATCCTGTTTATCAATCTTTGAACTATTTGTTCTTCTTTGAAATATTTTTGCATCATTCGAGGAGAACAGTTTCTAATGCTCAATTCCAGTTTGCGAGCAGTAATATTTCGGTTCTGGATAAGCTTGGTCTCCAATATTAGGATGTTCGTAGTTTCGTTTTCCCAAGAAATAATTGAAAACACTTTTCCACATCTAGAATTGCATATCACGAGTTGTAGATTTGTTCTCTGCGATCATCTGTCAGCAAAATTCTGTGGAACGATCTCTAACGTCTTAACGTCTCTCGATTGCTGGTCGTAAGAAAATCGTCGAGCTCCTTCGCGCGCAGTTCAACGACGGAAAAGTCAACGGAGACCCGAAAGCGGTTAAATTTCGATGAACTTTCGCAAGCTTCGGCGCGAGTGAAAACGCAGAGCGAGAAGATCGGGAGCACGCGGAGATCGAGAAGCAGATAACGAAAGGACGGAGTGGTCGGGTCGTATTAGAAAATCGAATTCGGTGGAATAGAGTGTAGTCTAGTGTAAACAGCGGCAATCCTCTTGATGCTCCGACGGCGGTGCCTTGTCACGTTCCAGACAAGCTTCCCGGGCGCGGTGTCGAGCGGAGTGGAGCAGTGGGTCGGCGTCGCGACGACCGCGGTAACGAAATAAATTAATCAACCGCTATTATGGCGGTCGTTGACGGCAGCTGTTGTCGCGGCACGCTAAAACAGCGAGATTCCCTGGATGTCGCATTTTATTCCCGCATTCGGCGGGTCGCGAAATCCTTGGCGACGCACGTCCGGTCCAGTGGTCGATAATTTTTTGGCCGGAAGTCAATTCTTCGACTTCGATATTTCGAGATACTTGATTTTTCCTTTAAATTGCCAAACTTTCGATGCCTTGAAATCCGAACTATCAAGCTTGTCGGATCTTTGTGATAAAATGTAGCGTTTCGAGGACGAATTTAGTAAATTTTATTCTCAAAAATACGAAAAAATTCTAGATCACAAAGTTCCAGGAAAAGACGAAATGCCGACTTTTGGCTATAAATTAACCGCGCCGCGAGCCGCCTCGGTCGCAAACCGGGAAGTTGCGAGTGCTAGCAAATGTCGGGCGAGGCTGGTAATTGGGTTTCCAAAGTATTGACCGCAGCACGCGCGGAACTTCGGAAGGTTTTCGCCGAATCGCTGGACAAATTGCGAAAAACCTCGTTAAGATCGAGGAAGGCCGGCCCGAATTCGTGCGGGTAAAACGAAGGCCCCCGCGAGGCCGGCGCGGCGTCTCATTGATAACGAGAGCTCGGCTGTTCTGTTCGATCGGAAATTGATTCGCGCCTCGATCGAGAACCGACGATTTTCGAAAGCAATCCCGCTTTAATCGAGCTCCCCCTCGGCTCCACTTTGTTTCTCGGCTTTCCCGTTTCACCTCGCGCGTTTCTGCTCCCTCGGGAGAGAGAGGGAGAGAGAGAGAGAAAGCCGCGTCGATCCGCCCGAAGAAAGGAATATCATTAGTCGGCGACGAGGTACGTGCAAAAAACTATAATTAACAATCCTTTCAGGGCGACCCTTGATCTCGTTAGACGCGCCGGGCCGGTCCTCGATCGCTTCGGGGACACTGCACGAGTGCGCGAGAAATCCTGTTTCCCTTTGAAACGGCGGAGAAATTAACTAATCTGCATCGCGTCTGGAGCTTATCAAACCGGTTGTCCGTGCCCGCCGTGAAACGGGACGCGATCTACGGATGGTCGTTACCTTTCTAATCTCGTTAGCTCCTCCGGGGAAACTCGTTAGATTTTACTGAACGCCACCGAGCCGTCCGATCCCGGATCCACGGGCCCGTGCAATTAACGTAATTAACATGCACGCGCAGTAACCATCCGGGTATCACGTCGTTCGACGAACCGGAGAATCCCCGAGCATCGCCGGACGATACATCTCGCATTAATCTTTACGGCACTGCTGCTGCTGCTGCTCGTCGATCTGCATCGCCTGCTCCGAATAAGGGCCATTCGCTCTTAATCGAGTCGCTCCTATTAACTCCTCGAGGATTACTCTGCGACGACGTTTTATTCCAGAGAGAGGTACGGACAAAGGATCGACGCTGGAAAGACCTTTTCGTACGGTGTGATTGAATCAGAATCTTAATCGAAGCACACGTTGTCCTCGAAATACAGTAATGTCTCCCTTACTGACGCTCAGATCGTCCACTAAAATGGATAGTTTTGGAAGAGGAATAGTTTTACCTGATTCACAGCATCGACTCTTAGCATCGACGTTACAATAAATTACATGGGCGCAGCACTAGCACAGGGAAATTCTCCGAAACCCGGAATGTGGCATTTCCGGGAGAAATTACTGTATTCCCCAAGATCCTTCAGCTTTGAAATCACCGGCCGTGTCGTAGGTGGCCGACGAATCCTTGACCCGCGGGAAAGAATCGCGAGAANAACGGCGGAGAAATTAACTAATCTGCATCGCGTCTGGAGCTTATCAAACCGGTTGTCCGTGCCCGCCGTGAAACGGGACGCGATCTACGGATGGTCGTTACCTTTCTAATCTCGTTAGCTCCTCCGGGGAAACTCGTTAGATTTTACTGAACGCCACCGAGCCGTCCGATCCCGGATCCACGGGCCCGTGCAATTAACGTAATTAACATGCACGCGCAGTAACCATCCGGGTATCACGTCGTTCGACGAACCGGAGAATCCCCGAGCATCGCCGGACGATACATCTCGCATTAATCTTTACGGCACTGCTGCTGCTGCTGCTCGTCGATCTGCATCGCCTGCTCCGAATAAGGGCCATTCGCTCTTAATCGAGTCGCTCCTATTAACTCCTCGAGGATTACTCTGCGACGACGTTTTATTCCAGAGAGAGGTACGGACAAAGGATCGACGCTGGAAAGACCTTTTCGTACGGTGTGATTGAATCAGAATCTTAATCGAAGCACACGTTGTCCTCGAAATACAGTAATGTCTCCCTTACTGACGCTCAGATCGTCCACTAAAATGGATAGTTTTGGAAGAGGAATAGTTTTACCTGATTCACAGCATCGACTCTTAGCATCGACGTTACAATAAATTACATGGGCGCAGCACTAGCACAGGGAAATTCTCCGAAACCCGGAATGTGGCATTTCCGGGAGAAATTACTGTATTCCCCAAGATCCTTCAGCTTTGAAATCACCGGCCGTGTCGTAGGTGGCCGACGAATCCTTGACCCGCGGGAAAGAATCGCGAGAATCTTTGACGTATTTCGGGCCACGTAATTTTCTGCTGTCCATTTTTGTGGACGACCTGACCGTCAGTAAGGGAGACATTACTGTAGTACGACGACACGTCGCGCAAGCAGCGATCGAAAATAAGTGAAGAAGAAGGTGAAAGAGACGACGAAATAAAAGAAAAGATACAATGGAGGATAAAGTAAGCGATCGCGAGATATTTACGCAACGTGAGAACAGGGCGAATAAAAAAGAGATTCCGATGAACCGCGATCGTCGTCTCGCGAAAGTATTCGCGAAACCGAAGTATTCGGTCGCGTCTGGCGGCGCATGTGCACGTGGACGCGTCACGTGGCCGCCCTCGCCATCCCCGATAATATATTACTCGCCTTGCGAACGTGTCACGTTTAAATTAATCTCCCATTGTGCTCTCGCGTACAGGTACGCCGGAGCCGGGCCCACGAAACTACTCGGTGACAACGGCAACGACACCATTACATCAGCCGCGAGTCTGCGTTCGCTGCCAGTCGACGGATAATATAACCGGAAGGGGGACGATTAATTGATCAGACATCGGGGAGCAATTTTACCGAGCCGACGTTGCCCGACGTCAAACGATCCCCGTTGACTCTCGTCGAACCGCGACTGCTTGCGATAACCGAGCATCATCAATTTCAATCTCTCGAGACTTCGCGGCTATCCCTCCTGCCCCTTGCAAGGAACAAAACTCGAGTGAAAATCTGTTTCTTCTTCATCGACGATCTCGATGAGCGTAGAAGAACGTAGGAATGTTCTAAAATCCTTTCAATTTCTTCGCTGCTCGAACTCTTTCGCCTGTCGGAGTGTAATTACAGCGCGTGAAAGTCTTCGCGAAGGACAAAATTGGACTTTTTACGGGCGAACGATGACATTAACGTCGCCAGGTAATAATTAATTTCGTCGGCGCGTAATTTGTCATTCGGTAGCTGCTCGGGATCGCAATTATAGCGACGGTGGATTCCAGCAGAGAGAAAAGCAAATTGCCAATAAGTTGGCCCGTATATCTGGCCCGGATGGCTTCTAATGTTTCACGGCGCGCCGCGTTCGGCTCCTATTTTACTTCAGATATCTTTTTCCATAAAAGTTTCGCCCGCTCGGGTCGCCGGCCCGGGATCCGGACAAATAAAAGTTTCCCCCGAAACTGTTCTCGAACAATCTATCGAATTTTCCCGCTCGGTCCCCGGACGCGCGGCGGAGCGCGGGGCGAGGGGTGGCGCGAAATAAAGAGGACACTCACCGACAACGGTGACGAGTATCAGGAGACCGAGCACCAAAGCCCTGAGGATGATCGAGGCGTCGGTGAACACGAGACCGTCCGCGGACGAGTTCCCAGCTGCCTGGCTGACGTGTTCCTCCATGACGTGTCCGAGATATATATTCTCTGTCCTGGCAGGGTCCTCAATGTCCGCTGGTTATCATCTCCTTAAATAATGTACCATGGTCCGCCGTCAGGAGCAGATCCGCTGATATGAATCTTCTATACACCGGCGACCTTGGCTGCACCGAATCTCCCGGCTCAGTTAATGACCACGCGTTGAAACTTTAACGCTCGCCGACCTTCTTACTTGCCCACGGGAGCTTCTGCCGGCTCCCATTTCGCGGAGACTGTGCCACCTTAGCTCCGAGAGAGCTGACCGGCCCTTACAGCTGCCGACCGGGTCATCGACGGTGCCTGTAACACAAAAATTACGTTCGTTGGCTTGGGATCTGGTGGATTCACGTATATATAAGTGGATCAGGTCAGTTCATGATCAGACAAGTAGTTCAGAGACACTGTTAAAGGATAGCAGAGCGTAATTGATCGCGAGATGTTCGATGTTTTAGCTGATAATTATTATATGGACCCTTAACGCTTGTCAAAAATTACGTTAGTTGACTTCGGATCTGCTGGATTCATATATATAAGTGGATCAGGTCAGTTCATGATCACACAAGTAGTTCAGAGACACTGTTGGACAATAGCAGAGCGTAATTGATCGAGAGATGTCCGACGTCTTAGCAGATAATTATCTTATAGACGGGCGTTAAGTGGACGCGGCTTGGTTCACAGTAGATTCGGACTACCGTTGGTCAGGCACCTAAAGTCTTTTTTATTACTCAAGAATGTCAAATGAGATTTCGGGCTTATTCAGCTATTATTGGGAAGCGGACATCGTCGACTTCGAATCAGCGAGCTTTAAATTTGCGAATTTCAGTAGAAAAATGTCGATATCTGGCGAGGAATGTTGCTTAATAAATCGAAAAAAAAGAGAAAAATGAAACCGCGTCAATCGAGGGTGTTCTCATGGTAGCCGGCTAATCAATGGGTAAAAATCGAGGGGAAAAAGGGCAGGGCAGAACCGGTATCTCTAGAATTCGGTCCAATAACAGAGGAATCCGTAATTTCAGTCGTTGGCCGCTAGATCGCGGACGAAACAGCTCTACACTGGTGGAACGTGAAAATGCACGAGAGGGTATCACCTTCTCGGCTTCGCGGGAAACCAACGAAATTGGAGTAATCGATCGAGAATCGTTGGGAATTGAAACTCGGTCTGTACAGTCGTGTGCGGCAGTTATAAATACAAAGTGATGAAGGATGGAAAAGGAGGAAAAAAGAGAGAGAGAGAGAACGAGAGAGCGAGAGCGAGAGAGAGAGACGAGGAGAGAAAAAAAGCAGGCGAGGCGCACTCGGCGATGAACGAGAGCTCCATAAAATTGCATCCCTGAGGTCACGCGAGCTATATTTAATTTTTCGATAGACACGTTTCATTAACTCGTATTTGCGGCGGGCGTTCATCGTTCCAATTCGATTGTGCTTGCGAATAAAACGAATGTGTCCCTTGAATCGCCGTTTATCCGCATTACCATCGAGTCGCGTCCATCTTCAAAACACTTCATCAAATTTCCACGGACAGTTGCTCGCGTCCGCGCAACGAGCCGGAACGACTGCCGGCTTGCAAAGACTTTCAAACGAATTCCGCCGGCTCCTCGGCCCTATTAAAAGTTAAGGCAGCGTGTCCGCCGTAAAGACGGGCCGCGGAGATAAAGCTTCGGCCGCTTCGGCACGTTATTAAATAAATTTTACGACACGGTTCGTTTCGCGATGCGAAGCACGCGGGACGAGCTTTCGATTGGCTTCGCCGCGCTGTTTGCCGCTTCGAGCCGGCCGTTTTAATTTTCGCGATTTAATTGCAACGACTATTATACATTAACGAGCGCTGTCGCAGTCCGCCTTAATGGGCCCGCGCGCGTCGCGCTGCGCTGCCGGCCAATTTCCACGGAAATTCTCCACGCGGAACACGTACCGGAAGGAGCGGCCACTCGAAAACTGACTTGCGCCGCCGCTGTTATTGGCAATTACTGCTCGTCACATTCGGCCGGGGCGCGGAATGAGCGCAATAAAATGGCAATTTCAATTACAGCCTCGCCCCGAGAAGACAATCGCTCGTTCTTTATATTTCACTCGGAAAATTCGGCCGCGAGGGGCCCCGTGGGGCAACGGCGAAAAGAGAAACAGCACCGTGCTTCGCCCGGACGCATTACCACGCTCCCTCTCCGACGATGAACGCCGTCGCGACCCGGTTTTATACAGTCCCCGGGTCCGTTTATGCACCGCGTTTCTTTTCCCCGTGTCCCGGACCGATGGATCTCCTTCCGTATTCTCGACGGAAGGATTCCGTCACACCGCCGCCGTCCTCCCCCGCCGTCACTCGAGGAAATTATTCTTCCACGAAGATTACGCCGGCGACGGGCTCGCAAATACGTCCTGCGCCCCTCATTTTTCATCCTCGCCGACTCCCCTTCTCTCCCACGCGAACGTTTCTTTCGCGCCGGTACCCGTTCGTTTCCCGCGCGAACGCCCGTCCCGAAACGGCGACCCTAATTGCGCCATTGTCGCGACTGCCGTCGTTAATCGAATAAGCGCGCCGAGGCCCCGACAATTAATTAGTTTATTTCGATGCCGGCCGACACCCGAGACTCGCCGGTTCTAACGAGTTCAATCCCTTAATGGGAATTAATGAGCCCGGAAACGATTCTCTCGCAATTAGAACGGAACGCCGATCACCATCGGACGCATCATACTGTTTATTGAAGTATCCGAGTTGCAGGTTTCCTGTATTTAAACGATTCGTCGATGTCGGACTGCTCAGAAGAAACCGGAAGCATATCCAAGAAGGACCTTGCAGCATGATGCAGTGGAACCTTGATTACCCGGTCCTCCAATTTCTTGGAATTCTTTGTTGTCCGAAACACGTTGCACGCGTAATTCGATCTAAAGCGACCGGCATGCACAATGACCTACAATAAAAATCAGTAGAAATCAATAAAAATCAATGAAAATTATATCTTGTGCCACCACCAGGTAACTGTGTCATTATCCGACGTGTTATAATCACTCTGTGTAGACACCGGATAGTCGAGATTCCAGTGTAACACGAGTGTACACACTTTGTCGAAGTAGATAATGACTTTATGGTCGGACGAGGAGAACAAGTGCATTACCGGATAGTCGTTGACGAGCGTAGAATTCACGGCGGCCCGCAAAAGTTCAATGAACATTCCGCGCGTTGATTAAAGCAGAATAGAAATTATAGTTTGGATTTCAGTGGATGCGGTTCGCCAGTGGCCGGACAATTTCGATATCAACCGTATCCCGTGAAAATTGAATCAACACGAACAACAAAGGGTTCGTCCCGTTAATCGATACCATTATAACGGCAATAACAAATGATATTATTATTTCAGTGCATCGATCACTGGTCAGCCGAGTCGGATACGCGTCGCGCTATTAAAAAATAATTTACGTTTCGATAATTTGTTGTCTTTTTCTTCCTCCCATAAAATAAGATAGAAACGTCGATTCGACGACGGTCGAATTCTGTAAGAAGAAATTTCGGCGGCCGGACAATTCCGGCGACGATTTAAGTACCCTCGAAATCGAGCGTAGTCCGTCGCCGCGTAGAAAATTACTGGGACACCCCGGAGTGCCGGCAATTAGGAGTAAATGAGAATCGATCCGCGGGACAGGAGAACCCGAGAATTGGCGGGCGCGTACGCGTTCCACGGTGCCGGAATTAGAATGATTATCGACGTCGTCCGTGGCCGGAGACGAGCGAGGATTCGAGTGTCCTCCGGGTTGTTCGGGCTCCTGGAGGGCCTCGAACGAGGCTCAGCCGACGGTAATCCGCGGATCCCGTAAGCTCCTGAAAGCGGAAAGTCCTCCGAAGAGGAGGGAAGTTAGTTACATGGGGGCTAATGGAAGCCAGAGGCGGCGCGCGGCTAAACAATATGGGCAGCGACACGCTAACAAAGTTGGCCCAGGCCAAGAAACGTAATTAAGGTTGCAGAAGTTAAGTTAATTTGGAAATACCGAGTTACGGTCGCCGGTCGAGGGGGCACGCGGGGGAGGGAGGGGGACAGCGGCCGGGCACCGTAATCAATTCGATATCACTGCGGCTGATACCGCCGGCGCAAAGTGTTTTGCGGATCGTGAACAGGGTTGGTGTGCTGCTTGTTACACAACTTCGGGAACAGCGAGCTGCGCGCTGTGCGCGCGCGGGACACTTTGACAATCATTCCGCGGCATTAAAACCGGTTCGTTCGTTCGTTCCCGTGTCGCAGCTGCTCGCAATTTCATTTCGGCCGAAACTCTTTACGCGATGAAATTCTTCGCGGAAATTGGACACGTGAGCATCATTATTTTCACGGAAGATTCCCGGAATTTCGGGTAATGCGCACTTAACCCTTTTAGTGTCGACCGGGACAGGTGGGTCCTGTTCGGCTGAAACCGTCGAACCTGGTTTATCCACAAATACCTGGCGAAAAGTGTTCGATCGCCTTTTAAAACAACTGTCAAGCTTTGAAATCATTTTCCTAAAACTGGACTGAATGATACGAATTTGTTTTTAAATGATAAATGGACTACTCCGCAATGACTAAGATACGTTAATTAGTTTTGCTGTTACTTGAAATAATAAAGAAAATAAGAAGGAAGCTTTCGTTTTCCAACTTTTCTATGATCCAGAACGAAGATTTAAAAAATACGTATCGTAGACCTCATAAATCAGGAATAAAACTATTATTAATTGAAATATATCAAGAGAAGAACATTTTCTCGCTCTGGTGTAATAACAATGACTATGTATCCTCGTTCGGTGCAATAAAGGTTGATGCATCGGTTAGCAGTCAGGATCAGTTGGAGCGTCGAGTCGTTTCTTATTCGCGGCCGTCTCTAATTAAGCAAAACGTCGCGTCGGATGCGACGGATCCGGGATAATACAGATTAATGCGAGCACACTCGACGTGTATCGGAGGCCGATGAAAGTGATCCCGCGAATAGCTGGCGGGCCCCGGGGTCGCTCATTATCTAAGGAACCGGTCATAAACGACGATAACGGCGGTACTTTATTTTCAGCCCACTCGGGCGCGCGGAATAACAGATTCCTCGGCTTAAGAAGTTTTAATTAAACGATGGAGCACTAGGAAATCGGCGGCTGTGTACTCTGCGTCTTAATCGGAGCGATTTTCCTCAACTTTTCGCTGATTCTGATACTCGCGACAGAGCGAGAGAGCAAGTGAGAGAGAGAGAGAGAGAGAGAAATAGAGAGGGAGAGAGAGAAGAGAGAAAGAAAGAGGGAGGGAGAGTGAGATATGCAGAGAGAGAAACAGAAAGAGAGAGAAAGAGTGAGAA